ATTATTTAAAAACAAGTCAAGAAACAAATAGGGTTTTAGAGGGGAGGGGGGTGGGGGGATGGGTTAGCCTGGTGATGGGTATTAAGGAGAGCACGTATTGCATGGAGCACTGGGTGTTAAACGCAGGTAATGAATCATGGAACACTACATCAAAAACTAATGATGTAATGTATGGTGACTAACATAATAAAATAAAATATGGAAAACAAACAAAAAAACAAGTCATAGGGGCACCTGGGCGGCTCAGTCAAGCGTCTGCCTTCGCCTCAGGTCATGATCCCAAGGTCCTGGGATTGAGCCCTGCATCAGGCTCCCTACTCAGTGGGGAGTCTGCTTCTCCCTCCCGCTTGTGATCTCTCTTGCTGTCTCTCAAATAAATAAATAAAATCTTTAAAAAAATAAATAAAAACAAGTCATACATTTCTTAAAGTCTTGGGGCTCTGCCTTAATTTATATTCTTTTTCCTAAGACTGTTTTAATGCCAAATATCTATCCATTTTTGTTGAACATTAATCTTTTCTGGTTGGAATTATCAAATATATAAAATACTCGATTAAGGACATATAATTTTCTTTTAAATTAAATTTATGTTCACAATTTTAGGTGTTCTAGGAACTATTACTTCTAAAGTTGCATTATACTTGTTTATTTTATCCTCTTTTGCTTTTGTTGGACCTTTTTTCCCCGCCTTGGGGTCCCATGTTATCACTATTTTAAACTTTATATGTGAGTTTGGCAGAATCAGAATGCAAGTTTTCCCCTTGAATGTTGGGGAGAATTTTATACTTGGCCTAACATACGAAAATAAATCATTTATAACAGGCCTTTCTTTTAGGCTATTGAAATATTGTGATTTTTTAACAGTAAGTTTTCTCTGAACTTAAGCATTTGGTAAGTATCATAAATGAATTTCTGAATTCTCTGTTCCTTCCTAAAATTATTCTTTATGTGCTTTTCCCCAGAGATCTACTATCAGTTTCCAGTAATTATTTATAACTTAAACCTATAGACCTAAATGGACAGTACCTAACCAAATACAGTGACATATTTATTAATGAGGCAAAAATGAATAAAATTAACATAAGAGTGTATGCCAGGACACTCTGCACTATTAAAAATGACTTCAATTATTATAGAATTGTGGCTATATATCTTAGAATAATTTAGAATGCCACATTATCTTTTAAAGAGTGCATATAGACAATGTAGTAGGGCATATTAGTTTATCAGTTTTTACTCCTGTAGTTAGTGATCTTCCAAAATGTCAATAATGCTTGCATTTTAAACCCAGGAGTTTCACAGGGCACCTAGCTATGTCTTTCAAAACAGCTGCCAGGTAGATCCTTTCTCTTGTACCACCACAAATCTGGATAACCACAGGCTCAGCGAAGCTGTCTAAAGGTTTTCAGTTCCGATCCAGCAATAACATTAAAGCTGTGACTTCTATCTATATCTACGAAATAGGTGACTAGGAAGTTAGTTGTTCACTGACCCTGTAGGCAACTTCTGGGAGTGTTCTTGTCAGTTGTAATCCAATGTCATACACTTAGTTCACAACTGATAAGAACAGGACAAAGAAGAGGAAGAGGAACAGGCAATTGGACACAGTGGAAGGAGAGAATAAGAGATGATGGCATATAAAGGAGGGAGAGAGAAGGAGCTAAACGCATGAAGCTGGCAAGCTGAGCTCACTTACTGATGGCTATGCACACCTTCTTTAAGTTAGCTGGTGGAGAACAGTGTTTGTTTGGTAATTGACTAACCCACTCAGACCATTTAATAGTAAGCTGCTGGTGCTTTACTAATTGTGATAACTTTTAAAATATTTGTTAATAGTGGTTTTGTGGGTGGCAGAATCCATTTGTATTTTCTGTAGAAATATACCAATTATACCTATGAGGAGCTTAATAAACTCTTGTTTTTAGTGATTCCATCTATTCATACCTATTCAGTTCTTTAAAATTGGCACATCCTGATCTGAAGGGGTAATTTCATTGCTAACTCATATAACTTAATTTCAGAAATCCTGAAAAGACATTATAGAAAAGAGTTTTAGGGAAAGAATAGAAGCATTTCAGTTAATTATTTTTATTTTTTAAGGATCTGTGGTTGTGGTTCCGGAGAATCTGGCTGTGCCGTGTGTGGGTGTTGCAAGGCTTGTGCAAGAGAGTTGGATGGTCAGGAGGCAAGACAAAGAGGAATTCTTGATGCAGTGAAGGAGATGATACCTTTAGATCTTCTGTTAGGTAATGTGATGGATTGTACTACACATCTTGTCCTCAGCTCAGTAATTTATATTAGTATGTGCTAAAAAATTAATAGTTAACTATGCAGTACTGCTTATATAGTAGCCAATAGTGTGTCACTAACTGAAGGGTAAGGCTCTTTTTCTCTTTTTTGCTAAGATTCTTCGAGTAAAAATAATTTGTGTTTTCATCAGTGTTTTGTTAGCTTTTACTTTCTTGAATTTCATATAGTTCTTTCATATCTATTATTGTATCTATCTATATATGTTTTTTTTTTGTGTTTCTTTGTGGTTTGTTTGTTTGTTTTTTTTTTTTTGGTCAATCATCTAGCTGTCCCAGTACCTGGGGTTAACATTGAAGAACACCTTCAGTTACGACAAGAAGAAAAACGACAACGTGTAATCAGGAGACACAGATTAGAGGAAGGAAGAGGTAAGATGTAGCTGCAGAGAAAAAGTATATGAAAATCCATTTTCTTATCCTATACTGAGACCACTGAAAGTTTACAGAATAGGCTGACTTGTAAGACATTGCAATTAAAATTAGTAACATTATAGTAACATATGAAAATCATGTGAAAATATTCAGAGTATTTACATTTGTGCTATTAACATAGACTTAATTTAGTAGAGTAGGGTGTTTATATAGTAAGTCAGGCATATTAAGAATTGTGCCATCTGCCAGCATCAAAAGCTATTAGCAATGGCAACTTTAAAAAAAGATATATATGAATTCTAAGAACTGGTCTTTCTCCCACATTTTGGACTCATGGTTGTTATTTAACCATAAACAACAAATTAGTTTAATATAGTATTTTAATTTCTGTTTTCTTAGTCATCTATGATCATTTCCATCTGAGCACGGTCCCAGCATTCTTCTTTCAATCCAGTGCATAATTATGTTTTTATATGTCTTCTTTTTTTTTTTCCCCAAAAAAGCTTATTCTGGTTATGTACAAGAAGGGTAAGTTGGAGAGTTTTGCAGGTTTTAATTGCAAAGATAGGTGTATTGTTTCTCTTTTCCTCATTGTTTATGACCATTTCTCAGCCTGAAAATACATTTCACTGTAGTTATATGCAGATAGTAAAATATAGATATTTTAATATACATCCAATGGCAGAGATAAATATAAATATTACTAAAGCTGTTGTTGCCCAGTAGAATCTTTTCTTTGTAGGATTAAGACAGATGGTTAAAGAGATCTGTGATTTTATTCCTCTGCCAGGCAAAATCTTGATTGGAAATATTTACTGATACTGCATATTTTAAATGCTTGTTAGAAATGACGTGAGACTTGATAAATGAAATAAAATCTATTATCCATTTAACCACCATTACAAATTTTTTCTAGGTACTTTTTTAAATGTAAAATGGAATAAGTCATAAAATATATATCATGTTTGGTAAATTCTATTTTTATTAAACTTAAGTTGTAAAACATGCTTGGAACTTGATTGTTCTTTATAGGATCTGATAAACAATCTGATTAATTGATATAGGAATATTTGCTGTTAGCTTGGCTATGTTTACTTAAAATCATTACCTTTAAAAGCGGTTTATTTTAATGAGAATGTAGATACTGTCATTGTTTACATTATATAAATATAGGGAAAAATGCATATTAAATGTTTTATAGAAAATAGGGTAAAATTTAAGTTCTAGGTCTTTATGACATATGGTAATTGAGTGACAATTTCTTTTAATATGATTTGTTTAAGGATAATTATTGGTGCATCTTTTTACTACCTGTTTTTTCTCTTTTGGGAAATATTGGGTTGAATCATATGAATTGACCTACAAAAAACATCAATTTCTTACGTTTCAAGCAAAGTATAGCAAATCCTTATGATGACATGTAATTGCTTGCTCTGCGTGTTTTGTTAGTTTTTTTCTCCCTCTGTAAATAAGCTTTTCTTCTCTAGCTGTAGTATGTTTCTGCATATCAAAAGTAAAAGAACATTGATTATGCATTAGTTCAACAAAATTTTGTGATTGCAGAATATTCTTTTGCCATTTATTTTAAAATGTGTCATAGACCTTAAAAATATAAACTCTAGCCTTTCAAAGGTTTAAAAAACTCCATTATTTAAATATTTACAGAGATTTTATTACTGTATCTGATTTTATAAACACAGACTTATGTTCTAGGCATTTGCTGTATATTTTCTGACAAGTCCATTTCATCCTCTGTCCTCAATATATAGAAAGATTATTGGTGCACAGAAATTTTGTCTTGTCTTTATTTTTTGGTTGAGCTCTTTCTTACACATTTTTTTCATTACACATTTTTTCATTTTTGTTCAAACACAGTATATAAAATATGTAGTAAATATCTTGTCTTGATGGGTTAGGATCTTCATTACGAATCATAATTATGGCATTCGTTACCTTATGTGATACTGAAATTTGTGCATATTAGAACCATGTCCTTGCTTTGCACAGTTGCCATCATTACTATGGAATTGTGCAGTGAGGACATGTCACAATATGCATGTTTCATTTAACACAGTACAATGCAAAGAGAAGCCTGTTTGTACATTTTGTTTTGTAAAAATACTTCTAAATAAGAATTTTAACTATGTACCCATTTTTAAAAGTCAGACTGTAGATTCTTATTCAGTGACTTTAGGAAATTCTTATACCATGTTAAATAATTGAAAACCAGTATGGTGATATGACACTTTTATCATATTATCTTTATATTCTTTCCCAGTACTCCATTGCTAGCAATTTTATAAGAAAACACAATAAAATGTACACAGAGATATATCCACACTTGCATAGGGAAAAAACTAGAAAGGTAAATACCAAAATGCTAGTAGTGATTTTTCCTGAAAAGTGAGTTTATAGGTGATTTTTATTTTGTTCTTTATAATGTGTTTCTAAATAATCTCCAATATGTGTATTACTTTATAAACGAAATAAGAGTTATGTTTTTAAAACTCAAGTCATTGTTTCTTGAAAAAATAAAGACGAGTTCTAAGGCATTTATACTTTACCTTTGCTTTTTAAAAAATATTTTTATGTTAATTGGATGGAGGAATGCCTTTTAAGTGGGGCACTTTTCATTATGGTAGGACAGTGGTTCTCAAAGTGGTCTCAAGGGAACCAGCATCACTGAGCACTTGTTACAGTTGCCTGTTCTCAGGCCCTACCTCAGACCCTCTGAATCAGAAATTCAGTGAGCAGAGCCCAGCAAACTCTTGTTTGAACAAGCCTACCAGGTAATTCTGGTGGTGCTAAAATGTGAGAACTGCTGCTCCCGGTCAGGGATATTCAGAGTTGCTTCCGTGCACCTTCTACAGCAGAATACCTGGGCTTGCGTCCGAATTTCTGCATTCTGTTAAAGAGCTAGGGAGAATTGTTTGCCTTGTTTTGTCTTAATGAGGAAGACAAAACAAAATAAAATAAATTTTTAGTATTCCAACTGCCACACATACCTGTATTTTTTTTCTTAGCCTCTTCTTGGTACTTTTTAGATATTAACAGTTTAGTGATAAGTTAGTAATTATACTCATTAATAATTGGCTTTTACCTCTGTTGAAATTTCAGAACTTCAGGATTAGATTATATCAAATTATTTTACTTGATTTATCTGTCTTATCCTATTTATCAAGTTTGTGTTGTTTCAAAGTTGATCAGAATTTTAGGACCTAGTCCTTGTATTAAAGCTTTGCTCAGTCTCAGGCCTACTTATGTAATTTAGCTGCAGCTGTTTATGACACAGACTTATATAATGGAATGTGCTGTTGAAAACTGAAAGAACAGTGTTATTACTGCATTTTTATTAATTTGGCACTTAGTCTTTAAATTTTTTATATTATTCTTTTAGGTAATGTTTTTCTTAAATGTATATTCTTAGGTACCAGTGTATTCATTTACATATTTTATTTCAGTGACATTTGTGATCAATTTTAGCTTTTTAGGTAATACAAGGTTGGTTGATGTTTAAATTCTCTGAGTCTTATATTAACTTTATAGGTGAAATGCTTGTCAGTGGAATTTTTAAGTAGAACTCTCTTAACTCCTCAAAACTACTGGGTGATTGTATCAATAATCTTATCTTTGTATTCCTTTTCAGTGCTCTCTTGTAAGGAGAACTAAGGTCAAATAATGTTGGCTACTTCTCTTTCTTTTCCCCTAAATGTCATCAAACTTTCATAATTGGGAGCTGTAGATGCGGTGAGCTTATGCCCTGGCTTGCTTGGGAAGTCGCATTTTATGTTGACTCTCCAGGCCCTTTTCCTCTCAGTAGTTTCACTTGGATAATAGGTTCTGTGGTTAGTGAAGCCATGTGGCATGGCAGTCAGCACAGCTTCTGAAGTTAGGCTTTGGTTCAGACCCTGGCTTCTTAACTGTTACTGGGGATGTATGATCCTGGAATTTAACCACTCTGAACCTCGCTTTTCTTAACGTTTAAAATGAGGATTACATGCAATGTAATAAGATAACCACTGGTAGAATTTTGGTGTACTTTCTTCCAATTTTTTTCTATTGTATACTTTTTGTTGAGTTATATTATTTCATACTGTGATATATATTGGTGTCCTGTTTTTTTTCCCTTTGATACTATATCAGAAGAAAATTTTTGTGCTTTATTGCAGTGCCGTTTTAAAGTAATACGGGAATTCTCTTTATTTTCTAATCACGTTTTACACATTTCCAGTTGTATCACTGACAGTTTTGTTTTACGTATTTGGTTAATGTGATAGTATATACATTTTTTTTATCTTGCTTAAATTTTTTTCCAACCTTCCCATTCTTTCTACCAAGCAAATGAGGTTTAATCTAATTGGTATACTTCCATATCTTACTCCATTATAATATATCTACACATATATCTACTATGCTGATATCTACACATGTATAGGCAAGTGTTTATTTACAAAGTGGCATTGTATTAGAGATACAGTTCTTTGCAGCATCTTTTTCTCATTTTACATCATGAAGACACACTTAATTAGTAAATATTGGTCTACTACATTATATTTAAGAGCTATATAGTATATTGTAATGTGGCTGTACTGCAGTTTATTCAACTATTATTCTGTTGATGGACATTTAGGTTATTTTCAAGTTTTTGTGGGTTTTTCTACAATAAATATTTTTAAACTTATAGCCATATTGGAGTTTTTGTTTATATAGTAGAGCTTCCAAGAAATAGAATATCTGGGCCAGAGAGTGTTTATATTTTAAATTTTAACAGATATTTCAAATTGTTTTTGAAATGTTACAGGAGTTTATCTTCTCCAGACTAATATCTGAGAGTGATGTTTTCTTCTAGCATCATATGTATTGTTCTTCTTAATTTTTATAAAATATGATGAAGTGTTACCTCATTGCTGATTTAAAGAGCACAAAAGCATTTTCTGTGTAAAAAACCTACATAAAGATTTCTTGGGGTGCTTGGGTGGCTCAGTCAGTTAAGCATCTGACTCTTGATTTCGGACCAGGTCATGATCTCAGTGTTGTGGGATTGAGCCCTGCATCAGGCTAGCACTCATTGGGAAGTCTGTTTGAGAGTCTCTTTCCCTGTCCCTCTCCCTCTGCCCCTCCCCCTGCTCATGTGCTCATGCTCTCTCTCTCCCTCAAATAAATAAATAGATCTAAAAAAAAATTTCTCTACTGCCTCATCTCTTTTTACTCTTTTTCCTGTTCCCTATGCCTGTTTTTTTCCCCCCATATCTGTGAACCTTTGTAGTACTACTACCTCTTTAAGTCTTAGCTTATGTGGTATTTTCTCTTCTTGTACCCCAAAACTCCCTACATTCCCACTCTTAAGGTTTGCTGGCTGCCCCTTCAGTGTGCTTAATTTTCTCATAGCACACAGTCATAATTTCTTGTTGAGTTGTGTGTAAACTCTCCCTCCCTCCCCTCCCCACATTAGACTGCGAGCTTCTGAAAGCAGAGATGGTGTCTTGTTTTTCCAAGAGTTCCCAGCACCAAGTGTAGTGCCTGAAATTGGTCAGTACTTAATACGTCTTTGTTGACTAATTGAAAACATTTCACGGACGTCTCAACACCTCTACAATAAAGTTTCATGGTAGAAAAGGACTGTAATTATCTGTTTTTCATATGTAGCTCCAGACTCATTTCCTGCCACTTTCTGTTTCGTAACCCTGCATTCCATCCATTTCGGCTATGTGTGTTTTTAATGACTATACAATATTGTTTAATCTCTGCTTGCTTTCATAAATCCTGTTTCTTTTGCCTGGAATGCCCTCTCTTTCCTTCTTTCTCTTGGCAAACTTTTTCTTATTCTTTCAACCAAGTAGAATGATCACTTTTCATCCTTCAGGGTGTGTACAGATTTCCTTTATAACATTCATCACAACATATTGCAACTCTTACTTGTTTTATTTCTGTCTTCCCTATTGGACTAAATTCTAATGAGATCTGTGTCTTTGTCATAATATACATGTACCTGGTGTGTGTTACATTAAAGATAAAAAATGGCAAATAAGTGAATGAACTATGTTTATAAGAAAAATTGTTTTAGTCCATGGGACATGAATATTTTAGAACCTGATAGCCTGATATAAGTGGTGATTTAAATTGAGCTCAGATGGTATACTTTCTAGGCATGATTGCCTGTGGGCCTTCTAAATTTTTATATCAAGAGACCCTAAAAAGATTGAATTTAGTGAGAAGCTGAATAACTATGAATATTATGGGTATAATATTTTTATAGGAAGAAATAATATCCCAAGCAGACCATAGAAATCAGAAAAGAGTACTGTAACTTAATATTACTGTTATTTTGATATTTACAGTTCTTTGGGGGTAGTTGGAAAGTGTCTCATGCTTTTTAGAGTGGTTTATATTAATTGAAAAAAATGCATGTTGAAATAAGACATTTTGTTCATATTTATCTAATCTTAGCTTGAAAATAATTGGTACTGCATTACTAGGAAATAATATTTAATTTTTCTGTTAACTTTAAATTAGCATATTTCTATCTGTAGTAATCATAGAATATGTTATTCTTGGTTTTTCATAAAATTGGTGATGCCTGCATTTTTTATTTATATCTCAAGGCATAATTAAAATATGTTTTTCCTACCCATTTTTTAATATTTAATGAAGGGTACTTTGGTGTTGAATTTGCATTTGTCAAATTTTATTATAGGGCAGTAGTTTTATTTTGTTCCATTGTTAGAAAAATTAATTATAGCTGAAGTGGTATAGAGAATCATGAAAAAACTGGCTTTAATTAAAAACATTCAGTGCTTATGTACTGTCAATTCCCCTTTCAAATTTGGTAACTTCTTAATGGCAAATTTAGAGTGTTTTGAAATTTGCAGGCATTTTTGATGTTGCTCAAATTCAAGGAAAGGATAGTTCAATTCTATAAGAAAAGAACTGAAATTTTAAGATATAACTTAAAGTTTCCCTTTTTAAGCTAAGTGATAGTAGGGAAAAGCAAATTATAATTTTTATTGAAATTAATTTTGCTATTGATTTTTTCTTGAATCTAAGTGGAAATAACTGTAATCTATGTGAATGTGCATTTGTATATGTGTGTGTATGTACATAGTGGAGCTTCAGAAAGAAATTATTTTATCAGAGAATTGTTAATGTTCCAAAAATGTTACTTGGATTAGATTACCCTCTTCAGTATCAATACCTTGTTTCTGATTTTGTATATGTTGTTACAGAAATCACATTTAAACTTAGATTTATTCTTTTTAGAAAATTAAATATAACTTCTATAGTCCTGTCCTCATAAAGTAGTGATTTCATATATATTCATGTCCATGAATGTGTGTCCACATGTGTATATGTCTATATCATATCATAGTAATTTTTGGTTTTGTTTTGTTTTTTGCTGTCTTGTTTTCCTACCTGTATGGCAGAATGTAGTTGAGTCAATAACATTTATCTTGGTTTTGTAGCAAGACTGATGTGGATATTAAATCTTGAAGACCTTCTTAAAATTTAATTATTAATTTAAAAATTATTTTGTTATTTTAATAGGAAATATATTGTCTTCTATTAATGGTTTACTAAGTTTGAATATATATGATATTAAAAATATTTGTAAGATGATTTGTTTTAATTGAACTTTCTGATTATGTACTTGAGACTGTTAGTAACTATGTGATAATTTTATGAGTTAAAAGGAATTTTACTTTATCACCTATAGTTCAGATATTAAAACTTGTGTGTGGAATGGGGGTGGGGGATTAACGTGGGGGAACTGGGAGAAAAGTATAATGTCTAAAACAGTAAAGAATAAATTTCCATGCTTTTTAGTTTGAATTATTTTTATTCATTGTAGTGTTTTCATTTTGTGAGCTTTTCTATGCACATACAAAATGTTTCTCCTCAGGCCCCCTTGTATTTGCTGGTCCTATTTTTATGAACCATCGAGAACAGGCTCTAGCCAGACTCAGATCCCATCCAGCTCAGCTAAAGCATAAACGGGACAAGCACAAAGGTATTTGGTCTTCCTTATCAATTAGGTGGGATACTTCCCCAGTTTCTTCCACTCATTTGAATTTTGTCTCTGGGAAAATGCACAAACCTAATTCTTCTACTTTGCTTCTATCATTATATAGCCTGAGGAGAAAGAACATGCTGAAAGATGTACTGTTTGTCAGTGACTGTCAGTCTCATTTCTTTTTATTTGTTAACTTTAACGAAGAAGGCATTTTGCAGTGTATCTTTTTCTTTTCCATTTCTTTTCAAATTTCATAAAGTTGAGGGAAGGTAGAAAATATTGCTTTCTGTTCTTTATCCTTTATTATTTGCTCTTAGATGTCTGCTATCTGACATTTTATAGTCCTTTTTTAAAAAAATGCTTTAGGATTAACAAAATTACTAAATTCAGTGTATAAAGTGATAATGAGTTGTTTGCTATTATACTTTTCCGTTGTTTTAATATTAAAGTTTATATACACAACACACACAAATTACTTGGTATTTGAGGGTTAAATGCTGATAGGTGTAAGCAAGGACTGTTCTAGTCCTCGAAAAGTGTCAGAGGTCTAGACAAGTCTGTGAGTTGACTAAGAATCTATTTCTGTCTAGTTCTTTGAGATCTCACAGCTCTGGATTAATTAGAAATATTCCTAAAGCAAGCTTATTTTCTTTTAAACTACAGCTATGAGTAAACTAAGATCAGGAAAGAATTTAATGCAGAAAATTTATAAATTTATATATAAATTCTGCCTTGAATCCTGGCATGTGAACCAGGGACTCTTTGACAAGTATAACTTTCAGTTGCTGCTTTCTTAAATGCTCAGGATATACCCCACAAAATAGACTACAGTTTTAAACACATACATTCCATATGGACAGATTAACCTGTTTTGTGTGTTACTTTTCTTTTGCTGCAGAACTGTTACAGACTAATTTTATTTTTAAACTTTCATATGCAATGTATTATAATTAACTTTATTTACATTTGCCTCTATCAGCTTATCAGTTTGCCACTCAAAGCAAAGCCACAAAACAAAACAAAAACCCCTGTTATTAGTCAAAGCATTGGTGGGGCACTATTTAAGATACATTCTACAGAAATAAAAATAGAGAATATTTTAAATCTAATGTGATTAGCCATAGGAAAAATTTGTGATTGCTTTATTTACTGAGTGCCCTAATAATGCTATAAATATTTAAATCTAAGGAACGATATTTGGGGTATACTATATGTAAATTATTTAATTGCCAGAATCTCTGATCTCATATTTTATACTATGCCACTATTAGGATAGATTTTCTCAGTGTCTTTTTTTACTCCCATTTAATAGAAAGTGGAATTTTTCCAGTACTTTACCTGAGGTTAAATGTTCACATTTCATGAAACAGTTTAAAACTTTTTCAGCTCCATGTTAGTATCTTATGGCCAAACATCTTAATTTTTTGCAGAATTTGAAAATGAAATGCTAAATGAAGACTAGGGTTACAAATTTAAAACAGACTTTTCACAGTGTCTTCATTGAGTAGCTGCAAAAGTTAATCAACAGTAACTAGCCTCACTGCTATCTTATCTACCACAGGTTTATCTTATAACAAGACTGTGTTTTTGTAGCAACCTCTTTAGAAGGACTTACTTGTGGTATTACAGTATACAGCCAGTTGTGTGTGTGTGTATGTGTTTTTATCAGGTTTTATAGAGGGAAACAGTTTCATCTCCTTACCACCAAAATGAATTTAAAGTGTAAGTAAGTAATATTTTATCAAATGGTGCTCTATTTTATATAGAGTATTAACTTACCACTCACTAATTGCTGTACACCCACAAATTCTCTCTCCCTGTTCCCTTTGCATTCACTGTCCCTGTCATTTAATCATCTTGCCTTGCACTGCTTTTGCTCTTGCTATTTATAATCACGGTCTTTAATAAATTTTTCCTACGTATGTTTCTCTCTTTTTTTCTTACCCTGGTTGTCTTCCACTGAGAAATTTACTATATTAATTGCTGTGTTCTGTCTTACATTTAATTACACTGGAGGTACAAATTGTAGGATGGTAATAGTTAAAATTGTCTCCACTATTAACTTTTTTGTGGGCGTGTGTGGAGGGTAAGAACTGTGGGTTTATTGTTCACAGGAGTGGGTTCTAAGATGGAAAGTTGGAAAGCTTCTGGCTAATTGGAGAGAATTCAGAGAAGGTCATAGAATCCATCCTGTTACAGGCAAAATCTGACTAGAGGCAAACTATATAAGTCTCAGTTAATAAGTATAGCATCTAATCCATAAAACATATAGTAAGTTTTTTAGAAATGTAACCACAGACTGTATTTCAAACAGATAAGTGGATTAACATTTGTTTCAGCTGTTCAGTGCCTTACATAGAAAAAGATTTTGATGTAGTACTCCTGGTTAGGAACATCTGAATTGCTCTGGAGACAGTCCTGAAACCTGGCTTGGAGTGACTAATGTGAAAGCCCGAAGGCTCACTGATAAAGATCTGTGTGTATTTTACACCTATTTTCTTTCTTTTTTTTTTTTTTAAAGATTTTATTTATTCATGAGAGACAGAGAGAGAGAGAGAGAAGCAGAGGGAGAAGCAGGCTCCCAAGGAGCAGGGAGCCCGATGCGGGACTCGATCCCAGGACCCTGGGATCATGACCTGAGCCGAAGGCAGACGCCCAACCATCTGAGCCACCCAGGCGCCCTACACCTATTTTCTGTTTAGAAATGGTGTGGTGTAATGGAAATATTAGAGCCTTTGGAATTAGGCCTCAGTTTTAGTCCCAAATTTGTCATTTTTTAGAACTATGTGGCTGTTCATAAATTTCATAATCTCTTAGGCTTCAGTTTTCCTTTTTTTAAAAAATAAGAATGATAATTCCTAACTGATTATGTTGATATGAAGATTAAATTAAGATATATATGTATTTGTATATACATATATATTCTTTGAATTTTTGCTTTCTCTTTTAGAATTATCCAAAAGGCACAAAATTTGAGATTTGTTAAATATGTAATTAGTTTATTTTTACAAAAGGTTTAAGATGTCAGCCATTTGGTGTTTGTAAAATACCTGAGCCTTGTTTTTTTAATTATGTTATGTTAATCACCATACATTACATCATTAGTTTTTGATGTAGTGTTCCATGATCCATTGTTTGCGTATAACACCCAGGGCTCCATGCAGAACGTGCCCTCTTTAATACCCATCACCAGGCTAACCCATCCTCCTACCCCCCTCCCCTCTAGAACCCTCAGTTTGTTTCTCAGAGTCCATAGTCTCTCATGGTTCGTCTCCCCCTCCGATTTCCCCCCTTCATTCTTCCCTTCCTGCTATCTTCTTCTTTTTTTTTTTTTTAACATATAATGTATTACTTGTTTCAGAGGTACAGGTCTGTGATCCAACAGTCTTACTCAATTCACAGCGCTCACCATAGCACATACCCTCCCCAGTGTCTATCACCCAGCCCCCCATCCCTCCCACCCCCCACCACTCCAGCAACCCTCAGTTTGTTTCCTGAGATTAAGAATTCCTCCTATCAGTGAGGTCATATGATACATGTCTTTCTCTATTGACTTATTTTACTCAGCATAATACCCTCCAGTTCCATCTACGTCATTGAGCCTTGGTTTTGATCAAACTTCAAAGTTGCCCTACTACTTATTACTAGGGCTGGTTACTTAACCCTTCTAAGCCTTGGTTTTCCCAGCTGCAAAGCAGAGTAACAATACTGGTATCATCAGATTATTGTATTGATTTTAAAAAGCAACAATAGTGAATATTGATTGAGCACTTTTTATATATTATTTCACTTAATCCTCATGAGGACCTTGTGAAGTAATGTCTATTATTGCTATTTTATAGATGGGAAAGCAAAAGCTTTAAGAAGGTCCAGTGTCCAGTTGTCATACAGCTAGCAAATAGGAGAGCCAGAATTCCAATTCAAGTCTCTTAGTCTTCAATGCCCCAAAGCACTTCTCCACTGTACTATTTAAATTTTCACAGTGTTTAGCATAAAGTAAGTGCATAGCTAATTGTATTTGATAAGTGCTTTGCTGTTTTCTTTTAGTCATTTTGCTCAACGTACTCACTGTGTTCTGTGATACATTTTGTGATATGCATGACTATAAGATTACCCAGGAAAGTGTAAATTTAAGTAAAGATTAAAATTAAAAGTTAGAGTCCTTTAGATATTGAATCTTCTTTTCTCTATCTGTGTACACAAATATGCATAAATAGTGTAGCATATATATATACAATATTTTAGGTATCTGTCAAAGCTATTATAGTTTCATTATCACATATGTATGAACACACTTATATTAGGGGAAAATGCAGATATGCTTATACCTAAATGGCCAATTATAAGAATAATCAGACCTAATTATTTTTCCTGCAAATCTGAGATTAACTTTGTTGCTGCTCATTATCACTTTACTGAATAACGAGCTTGAGCAGAATTAATCCTGCTGAGTTTCACTTGCTGATTCTTGAATTGACACTGAATTTTTGGCTATGAATCAGGTACCTTTTTTTTTTCTTTGATAACCTGTAAATTTCTAAACTGTTAGAAGTATACTTGATCTTTTAAACTGACATCAAATACTAGATACAGATACATATTTTTTAAAATTCTTCCACTACTGCTGATAATGATCAAGAACTTTATCCCTGTTTTTTTTTCTTTTACTTGTTATGTTTTCACCATCTATAATAATTGAGAGATTATTTTATATAATTAGATACAGGTTTGTTTAGATGAACTTGAACAAAATGTTTCCAGTATTATTTTTACCTTTAAATAATAACTAATACTTTTT